TATTATGTATATATAATGACAGATAATACAAAAGTTACGTTATTTTTGATAGTGGACGCTGTTAAGTTATTTTTTTTAATATGTAAGTATCGCAGATTGTTAAGACTTTGTCACATGATCGGTTTGTGTAATTGTATTAATTTTATTATTATTTTATACATAACTGTGCGTAAAAAAGTAGAGAAAAGGACGAAACCAAATGTAATTACAACATAAACCAATCAATGTTCGTGGTTCAGTGGTTTAAAGCACGGCTCCACATTCTGATGGCGCAGTTTCGATACCAAAACAAAACATTTTTTTTTTCTTATTTAGTAGAATTTATTCTATTAATTAATTTAAGAAAACGACAATTAAGCATTTCACTGCACTGAGTGACCTAGGTAGTAAATAACTCACAGATATACAATTTTTTTTGCAAATACCTTCATAATGCATATAATAAATATTGGATCAAATCGAACCCGCGACCATCCAGTTCATGTAGTAGTATGCTTAACCGCTACACCTTTCGGCTGGTCTAAAAAATTTAAAATATTATATTGATAAATAATTACAGTGAATTAAGAAAAATTAAATAAAACAATAAAAAAAAAAATCTGCGACACTTTACTCATACAATAATAGGCCGTCATTGGATGAAGGCTGCCTCTTACATTGACACCCTCATTCATAACAAAGTAGAACAAACCAATTTCATTTATTAACGTTTGTCCCTTTCCCTCAACCTTTGCTCTTCATATCACAGAAAGGGACAAAGCATTAATAGACAATATAGATCGAGATTTTACTTTTTATGAATAAAAGGCTAAGGTTATGGACTTGTAGTTATCGAATTTAATTTTCTAACTCAGAAATACACGATCCATATTTTTTATTTAATTCTAAAGCGAAAGTTAATTAATACTGACGTAAGAATATATCCAATATTATATGAAATTATAATTGATAGATTGACAGCATTTAAAATTACATATAATTTATATATGAAAAAAAAAATGTAAAAAAATAATGATACTGATTCAACTTATTCAATTAAAAACTAAATAATTGCTTTTAAAGTATAATTTTATGTTCCATAGATAGTGTACTTCCAACTTAATTTATACATATACATATACCTGTATTTGTCTACCGTTAATTCGCAATAAAGTAACAACGAGCGCGTTCACAGTACAATTCTCAACCTTATTCCCATAGTGAGTATGTTAACATTTCCGTATACTTACAACCACATCCATAAAGCTTTAAAGGAAGCCTCGCTATACATACATGAATGGTTCAATTAAATATATATATATATAGATATACTATATATACAGTAATCCCTCTATAACACGGTACTTCTATAAACGCATTTCTATAGTACGCGATTTCAATCACGGCCATTCCCCTCATATAACTCGGATATTTCCTACGTTATATTTCTGTATTGTGAAATTTATGATTTGTACAGTTCATAATCAGTTTCTTTAGTTCATATGCATATGTTTTTGATTTAAAATGTTCTTAGTTGAGTTTTTAAAAAATGGTACCTACATATTTCTTTCAGAAAATAGTTTTTTCTTAAGCGATTTAAACCCTATTTAACGCGTTATATATTGTGGGGTGACGTTTATATATTGGGGGGTGGAAAGGGGTTAGTAATGTGGACTAATAACCCCATTACTAGCAATGTACCATGTCAGATTGACCTCTACGTGGTATCTCTGGAAACCATCGTGATAAATCCTTGGTGAATTTTCACGATGGGCTAGGCCGGGCCTCATGTTCATCTCATCATCCTCCACTGGTGCCCCGGTAGAGTAAACTGTTAGCGCACCATTCAATTATCAACCATAAGAAAGTACTCCTAAAACGCATTTTCCTATAACACAGAACTAATCAACCGTGTTATGGAGGATCACTATATATATTTCGTAACATACACAGTCGTACATAACCTACCCTACATTATTTTGAACAATCTCGATTATCGCGTGGACCGTTCCCGAGTAGTACGGTTCACGATGACGCGCTCCCAACGCGGCGTTTCGTTACAATTTCCATTATGAAAGCGTACCGATTTCATTACAATATATAACAACGAATTTATCTCTGCTTAAGATTCACTCGACTAGTATTTTTTTTAGGCGAAATGCAAATATTTGTCAAATATTAATTTTAAATCTCCTTATTCATAAAAATGACATTGAACAATTTTGTTCTTTTCTTACGCAGTACTTTCTTCATATGGTAGAAAGAGACAACGCTAACAATTGAAATTAATGTTGAATTTATGTTACAAGTTTTAGTATTGAACTGTTTCTGTCTTTTTCTTACCAGCTATTGTTATAATTGGAAAGAACGTGATAAAACAAAATTAAAATCATTTTTTATGAATAAGGAAGACTGAACTGTGGTACAATTTTGAAAACCGTATCTTATGAAGAACAACCCATTGTCGAGACAACATTAACATTTATAAATTTGTAACCAATCACAAACTAATCCAAAACTATCTGAAATTCATTAATTGTATTCTTTTTTTGGGGTTTGGGCTATTGTCAGGTACTAAGACCTGTATAGATCTATGCTCGCCCTTATTCAAAGTTCGCTGCTTAGACCCGTAAGGGACAAGAATTGAAGGATATTCTTAGGAGCGATGGTTTTTATCTGCTCAGGATAGAGTGTGTACTTTCCTAAGGAGATATTATAGTGCATGAGTGTACTATGACCAAAGATTCTGGTATTAGATTTTTAAGTTTCTTGCTCGTTCTTCTTATGATGAGACAGCTTCCAAATTAGCGGTAGATTAAAAAAAAATTGTTATGTCTGTTCAAAAGTGCTTAAATTAAGTTTTTTCAATAAATGATTTTCTATTCGATTCTATTCATTCAAAGAGTTCAAGACATTTGCTAATCAAATGCATACAGTGAATGAATTTCAGAGGTAGTTTCATAGAATGCTTTTTGAAGAATGAATTTTTGTTATAATCACAGACAACTATTCAATAATTTTCTAAGAGATCCTATTTAAATTGAAATAAATTATATAAATGTTATTTACTGACCCTATTGTCAGCTCCATTAAAAAAGACCTATCGGATATTTTATCCTCTTATTTATAAGATATAAACCCATAAAACTTATTTTGACCATTACTTTTTGTCACACTCCTTTGAAAGAACTGAACAGAGTTATTTATGTTAAAATAGGTTTAAATAGCAGTTTTATCGAAGTTGAAGTTAAATTAATTTAATATAGAATAGTTTAAATTAAATTACAAATTAATATATTCCACACAGCAGACGGAGAAAAAATTTAGAGATAGAGAGCGAGATAGAGATACATTGGTAAATGTTATGTCTGCTCATTTTTTTTTTTAAATTTGCAACGGAAAGAAAGAGTTAAAATTGGAAAATTATCTATGGATTTTCGTAGTTTCCCAAAGACTTATCTTTAACGCGACCTTATAAATGTTACGATGGGATGTCAATAGCCAATTGTCTATGGATTTTCGTGAATTTCCAAAGTCTTCCAAATGTTTCGATGGGCTGCTAATAGAGGTCAGTAGTGTTGTATTCGACAATTGGTTTACACGTGAAATTATTATGATAGCTCTATTTTGACATCAAAACGTTTGTAATAAAGTATATTTTTCAACAATCGTTTTTAATCTTTATATAGTATAAAACAAAGTCACGCAACAGATTTTAATGCAGTTTTCAGCAATAGATAGAGCGATTGAAGGAAGGTTTATATGTATAATACATGCGTGATAGTATAGAACAAGTCGAGAAATTCAAAGATTTTTATCATCCATCTATATCTTATAAAATAAAGCTACCATAATAAAAACGTGCTAAAACTGATAAGGTTTAAAACATACAAGTTCATACCGTACCGTTCGCCAGCCCGTCTTATATTCAACCGTATGCAAAAATACATGTAATTTGGCGATACAAAATCTCGTCATAAGACCCACTTTTAAGTATAAATATGCATTAAATCCTACACTATAACTAGGCTAGCCCGAATTTCATACAATTGCGGTGTTTGAATTAAAATGCGTACCGTTTACAGCATCAAATTCGGGTACATTTGACTATAAACTTCGATCTGTAAAGTGCTGCGGAAGTATATCTATGGGGACGATGGGTTGCTCGTCGACCGCCGGGTCGCGGGTTCGGTGTCCGGCGAGGCAGCGGTCGAGAGCCACGTTTCCTACTACATTCACGCACCATTCCACTCTTATAGTTACGATGACCCTACTACAATACTAATGCGATCATATAAGCTGTACTCCGTGATCGAGTAACTTCATTATCTCGCAAACGTGGCCATATATATTAGAGTTTACATGTTGAAGGTGTTTACACGGACAAGTTCATCACCACTCGCCTAGCCTGGATGGAATGGATGATTAAATAGATGCATACCGCTATGGAATTAACTGCATTAATTAGAAATGGACTTTAAAGGTATAACTTCAAAGTCTATTTTCCAAATTTTTTTCTAAGTTGATTAGTGCAGCAAAGCACACCGTACCGGCGCAAGAGAACTGGAATCAAAAACCTGTAGATACCTCTTGATTTTGGTGATGGTAGTTTGATATCGTCTTGTTGAGATGAGACTCCACCTCCACTGGTCGGTCAGCATATACCATTACGGCAGAAGAGATTACCATTGCATGATGTATAAAATAATAACGGATCCTGAGGCAGCTTGGTGACGGTGGTAGTTGTGGCGACGGTGGTGGTTGTGGCGACGGTGTGGAGTCGCCAGTGATGGCTACTGCTGGACTTCTCCATCAGTCGGCAAATCTTGTCGCGGTCCACCTGTGGCGACGGTGGTGGTGGTGGCGTAGTTGGTAGCCTCACAGGTGATGGCTGCTGTACGACTCCTCCATCCGTCTACAAATCTTGTCGCTGTCCGCCTGCGGCGGCGGTGGCTGTGGTGATGGTGGCGGCGGTGACGATGGTGGCGGTGGTGATGGTGGTGGCGGCGGTGGTGGCGCCACTAGCTGGCGACGAGGTGTGCGGCGCGCGGCGGTGGCAGCGCTGCGGGCGGCGGTTGTCCGAAGCTGCCACGCAGAGACTCCTCCATCAGCCGGCAGATCTTGTCACGGTCTGCCTGCGGTTGTGATCATTTCCATTAAGATATATCACCAAAAGTATAGGGTAGGGAATCCTGTAATGTCACCTTATATTATTATAAAGCAAGTGGTTTGACTAGATTATATTTTACAAACGTATTCAAATCGGTTACATATGTGCAGTAGATTTTGTATACATGCATATTTTGTAATTTTTAGGAGTAACGACAGTTGTTAGTGAGGGTTTTGATGGTAGTGGCGATGGTGGTGGTGGTGGTACTCACCTCATGTATGAACCCGAGCTGCACGAGGTCGCGCGCGAGCGCGGCGGCTGAGTCGCGACGCGACACGGCGCAGGTCAGCTGCCGGTTCATCTTATCGTCCATGCGCAGCAAGATTGTCATCTGTGAACACCACGTACTTTCTGAAACACTTCTGTTTTGCTTCTAATCATTTATACTATTATTTCTTTTTTTCTGTGAATGCTAGGCGGGAAGGTGAGACTATGAATAAACATCACGTCGATGACGACTGACTCACGAGCGGGTCTTACGGTTGTTGAGGTTGAGGAGCGATGTTTGAGGCTGCACATCATGTTGACGACGCGGCGCGTCTCCAGGGGGGCGGCGGGGGCGGCGGGGGCGGCGGGGGGCGGTACTCACGAGCAGGTCGTGCGGCGGCGAGTCGGGCGGCGCGGCGTGCGGGTGCGGCTTGAGGCTGCACATCATGTTGACGACGCGGCGCGTCTCCAGGGGGGCGGCGGGGGCGGCGGGGGCGGCGGGGGGCGGTACTCACGAGCAGGTCGTGCGGCGGCGAGTCGGGCGGCGCGGCGTGCGGGTGCGGCTTGAGGCTGCACATCATGTTGACGACGCGGCGCGTCTCCAGGGGGGCGGCGGGGGCGGCGGGGGCGGCGGGGGCGGCGGGGGGCGGTACTCACGAGCAGGTCGTGCGGCGGCGAGTCGGGCGGCGCGGCGTGCGGGTGCGGCTTGAGGCTGCACATCATGTTGACGACGCGGCGCGTCTCCAGGGGGCGGCGGGGGCGGCGGGGGCGGCGGGGGCGGCGGGGGGCGGTACTCACGAGCAGGTCGTGCGGCGGCGAGTCGGGCGGCGCGGCGTGCGGGTGCGGCTTGAGGCTGCACATCATGTTGACGACGCGGCGCGTCTCCAGGGGGGCGGCGGGGGCGGCGGGGGCGGCGGGGGCGGCGGGGGGCGGTACTCACGAGCAGGTCGTGCGGCGGCGAGTCGGGCGGCGCGGCGTGCGGGTGCGGCTTGAGGCTGCACATCATGTTGACGACGCGGCGCGTCTCCAGGGGGGCGGCGGGGGCGGCGGGGGCGGCGGGGGCGGCGGGGGGCGGTACTCACGAGCAGGTCGTGCGGCGGCGAGTCGGGCGGCGCGGCGTGCGGGTGCGGCTTGAGGCTGCACATCATGTTGACGACGCGGCGCGTCTCCAGGTCGCGCGGCTCGGGGGAGGCGGCGGGCGCGGCCTCGGCCAGCGCGCGCTCGGCGGGGGAGGCGGCGCGGCCCGCGCCCCCGCGCCACCCGTACGCGGTCAGCGGGTAGATGCCGTACCTGCCACCCACGACATCCTTAGCTCGACACAGTAATTTTACACTCTTTTACGCGAGAAACATGAAAGAGTATGAGAGGCAAAGAGAACGAGAAACACCACTCACGTCACCGGCTCGCGTATTCCTACGCTCATCGATCGTGAGTGCTTTAGCTCCTTTTTATGCTGATTATCAATACAAAGTTAGTAAAATAAAAGAGGGAAACTAAAAAAAAAAGAAAAGTAACTTGAAAAGTACGTTTAATCCACGCGCAAAAAATAGTAAAAAAACAATGCGCGCGCTCCTAATCGCGCGTTACAGAATATGTCCAGTAAAGACAATGGATTCACAATCGTCTCAAGATACACTCTGATATCCAACCTACCTCTTATTTATTCCCATGACTGAAGACTGACCATATGGCGATTCCGTATTCTGTATTATACTGCCCTTAAGAAGCCAAAATACGGTGAGTGAGGTGAATGAACGACAATTTAGATCCAGATGAACTTTATACGACAGCTCTGTTCAAAAATTCTACTTAGATGACGATACATTAAAAAAAAAAATAAACATATCTTATGCTTATTGCTAATTAAGTCTTTTTGTCTAAAATCCTCAATGTACAACATAAAAATAATTATGCCAAAATATGGTACTAATAACTCACTTGACATCTTCAACAAATTTTTCCAGCTTCTCGCCGTGCGGTGGGAGATCTTTGGCCGAGATCTCCGTTCGCTCGCCGTCCTTCACGCACCACGCTAGCGCCTCGCCACTCGATCCGCCAGCCACCTCGTCCGTTATGGTCTCCGAAATATTTGCTGAGGAAACATATCGCATGGCATATGTTCATAAAAGTTTAAGATCGGCTACAAGTATTGAAGAGATCACATTTCAATAAGAAATTGAAACCTAAAAGTTGAAATTTAGTTTGGGATTGTACACACAAAATTGTAACTAAAATATTATGATGATGCCATTTTGCCATCGCATATTGTTTTAACATCATATGAGAAGTCAATTTGCTGTACTTACCAGTTGTGTTGACGAGAGTGTGAGCCGCTAGAAGCTTCAAGGAGTGCACTTCGAATAGCAACGGATGGAAGAGGAGCTCTCGAGCCGTCGGCCTTTTCGACGGGTCTTTATTTATGCACCTGGAAACATAAGTGCAAGCGATTAGCACAACGTTTGCGGCAGAGGACAGCCGAAACCTATACGAGACAATGCACTTACCGTTAAATGCCCACCTGTGAAAAGTTACAGTACCTGTAAATAAAGTCCTTCTGCCTGGGCTCCTCCAGAGACTCAACAGTACGAACGATGTGCTCCTCGGTGACGTGGCTGCCAGAGTCGCCATTGCCCTGAATCTCAAGAGCCGCGGTCTCCAGAGCGCACATTCCGAATGAGTAGATATCCATCGCAGGCGTCACCATTTGCGATGCTAATTCGGGGGAAACAAAATTGGAATAAATACATAAAATAAAGTTTCTCCTCCTAAGATCCTGGTACACATCTCTTGCTTTTTCCATACAAGATAATTTATTAAGACATTGAACAAAGCTCTTTCTTGTACCTATTGCAAGTGTATAAGTACAAGTGTTGGTACGGAATAAACGAGAAGTAGTGCTAGGATCCAAGCCGAAGAAACTGTTTCTTTCCCTCTCTACTGAAGGCGATACTATTTACTTACATCCATATTCTGGAGCAATGAGGTGCATATTCCTCATGTTCTCTCGGCAAGTCTTCACGTGGTGGTTGATGGCATCCGGCGCCACAGAACCAATTTTCACCAGCCCGTTGTGTTGAATGAAGATAGTGTCGCAGGTCAAGTTGCCGTGGACGATTGGAGGTACGCAGCCGTGAAGATAACTGGATATGGGATCATTTAACTAATTAGTATTGGTTTGCATTGAATCTTAAACGCGGAACTGAAATAAAATATTAAAGAAAAACGAGATCTGTGGAGAAAATCTATGATCGTCAAGTGCATATGAATTGTAAAACTAATGCTACGTTCAGATATTCACCTGAGCGCCGACAGTATCTGTGTACACCACCGCTTCCACGCCTGCAGCGGCAACCGTTTCACGTTGCGCTTTGTGCGTTTTAAGAATTGCTTAAGCGACCCGCACGACATGTACTCGGTTATGAATATCACCTGAATAGTAAAACAATCATAATCACAATCGCTTCAAATGAAATGTTTAAGAGAAGTTTTCTGGAAACTTACCCGTGGCTTATCGTTATGTGTATCGGTCCAATACCGATGGAATTTGACGATGTTGGGGTGTTCCAGCCTGGTAAGGTTGTCGAACACCATCTGTATTTTGTCCTCTTGAGCTTTGAAGTTTTTCCTTTCGGAGAACTGCACCTCGTTCCAAACGACCTCGACACCTTCTTCTGTGTCCATTGCCAGATGTGCGCAGTCGATGCCAGGTACATCGCGTTGTTCCACCTGGAAACAAGCAGAACATATTACGTCAACAATTGAATATAATTAAGCCAACCAATTTATATCTGCATCGCATTGGCAAGAGCACTTTTCACAAGTGGCTCCCATTAGTTAAATGACATTAAAGGTCAGACCGAACATTCAGCCTTTGAGTACTTGTTTTGTCGCTACATTTATGAATAGACGTCAAGTGATTACGTCCAAGCGTTCTCTACTCAATTGGTTGATTGGTCCATCGAGAGGGTGGACTATCTGAATATATATGTACACACTAATAATTGACAAGATATTATTTTCTTGTAATGTAATATCAGAAAAACGAAGAGTGGTTTGACAACTTGTCTATTTTAGGTCATGTTTCGTATAATGGTATCGAATCAAATTTCTTTACAACAGTAGGTACTTTTAGGCACATTGACTTCAGAAGAAAAGATCTCATCCATTACATTTAAGATAAGTATTCCAGTTGCTAAGTAACAGTTATGTGTAATGTGTAACTGTGATGAAAAACATATTAATTTATACTTGTTGCTATATATGTATATCCACTAGGGTTCATTCCCGGGAATTCTCGGTTCGAGAATTCCCGGGAAATTCATGGGTTTTGTTCCCGGGAAATCAAGCTCGAGAAAAGTCGAGAACTCGAGAAATCATGTACCTATATAGAAATTAATTGCCCTTTGTTTTGTTGCGTGGCGGCGCAATAATTTAAGATATTATCGTTTTTGTTTTCTATCATGTTAAATTTTTATGTTGTAGAAACTATTTATGTTTACATTGTTTTTTTTTATTTCCAAATAAGCAGCTAAAAATGGTGCTATCATTATAAATATAAGTCTGAATAATTAGGTCCTAAAAAATTTAAATTGGCGTTTTGTAAGGGACTAACCTGAAGTATTTTTTTTTTCAAAATATATCAAAATAAATAATATATAAAATATATTTATTTAATCAAAGTATGTACCATTTCTATTTATGCACTTTTGCCTTTTGTTTTTGCACTTTGGACTGCCCCATCGGAGTGTAATTTTTTCCCTTGCAAGAAGTTATCCAAATTTCGAAAAAAAATGGTAATCTGTTGGAGCAAGGTCCGGGAAGTATGGTGGTTATCTTAGACATTCCAATTGAAGCTCTTCTAATTTGGTAACTGTCTGTTGTGCACTATGTGGTCAAGCGTTCTTGGCGATTGACCAGCCTCGGTTGTTTAGTAGCTAGCTTTTCCATCATGGTTTCTCAATTGCTGACAATACACATTTGCCGTAATCGTCTGGCCAGATTTAAGAAAGCCGAAGTGAATAACACCGGAAATAGTCCACCAAACGTTGACAAGTAACATTTTTTGAGCCAATTTTCGCTTGGGGCAGGATTTGGTTGGTTCGCCAGGGTTTAGCCATTGCAATGAGCGTTTCCGATTATCGTACAAGATCCACTTTCCACCACAGGAAATTATTTGATTTAAAATTTATTTTATTTATTTATTTATTTTGTACACATTACATCGATGGTTGTAGACAAGACAATTAACAGCAATCCCTGCACTAAGCTCAGGGCTTGTGTCGCAGGAATCAGAAATCCTTAATTACAAAAATATTAACTTAAAACAGGCTCCAGTTCAACGAGGTACAAAATTAACCAATATTATATCGGTACTTTTTTTTTTTACAAAGAATAATAATAACTAAAATAAAGGTAAAGTTTGGGAAAAATCCCTTCATTATTATGCCGGTTGATTAATGTAACGCAGCAGGCTTCGCGCGTTTGTCGATTTACTCCATTGAATTCATGAGGGACCCACTTTTCAAGCTTTTTCACCTTCCCAATTTGCTAAAGGATTAAAACAGTTTTGTCACTAACACCGCAGCCTGCAGCTAACTCGGACGGGTTTGGGATGGATCCGCTTCCACAATAGCCTTCAATTCTTCATTATCAACCTTGGATTCCGGCCGCCCACGGAGATTGCTTTGCAGGTCGAAATTTCCAGAACGAAAACGTTGGAACCAAAAATGCACGTGTTTTCTTTTGCGAGACCACTGCCGTACACATCATTAATACTTCGAGCCGTTTAGCACCGTGTAGCACTGGTGCCACAGCGGAACTCGTACTCGTAAATAACGCGATATTTTAAGTTTTTTCATTTTGTATGCTGTGAGTGACCCAAAGTGCATAGCTGTATAAATTTGGAAATAGAATTCCTAACCAAAGAGGAGATATTTGAGATCAAAGTGACCAGTACGACAAAACGCCAATTTCATATGTAAGGATCTAATATTATTTTTCTATTTAAAAAAAAATATTCATTATCCTTATGTTTTTAAATATACTCAATAAAAGTTTAATTTGATACTTTTATTTGAGAGGAAAACCACTGAATTTTTTGACGTTATTGGAACCAAATAATATCAGAAAACGTACGTAAATGTAAATTTCTCGACAACCCGAGAAGACCCGAGAAATTAACCTCGAGAATTCTCGAGACCCGAGAAATTGAGAAGCTCGAGAAATCATGAACCCTAATATCCACCGAATACCTCCATCAGGTACAAGTTTTATGTAACTGTATATTTAAATACTACATCATTAGTATATCACACTCATTTCATTTATAATACACAATTTTTAAACTAAAGTAAACATTATAATTTATGTTATAAGCCGGTATAGTTGAAAGAAAAGAACTCTACTAATAGCCATACGGTGCAATACATCACAGATAAAAATATATAAATAACTAAGATTAAAAATGTGACAACAAATATTGTGTATATTGACGATATTTTTTGATATCTTACAGGAATAGAATAGAAAATCATTTAATTTTGAATAGTCATCACATTTTTTTAATCTACCGCTCATTCGGAAAGCTGTCTCATCGCAAGAAGAACGAGCAAGAAACTTATGTGTTTCTGCTTTAAATAATTTTATTCTTACAATTTAAGTTTAAGTGTATGAATACAAACTACCGATTAGCACTAATTCAATTAAAGAATCAAATAGAAAAAATATTGAATACACAACAATTGGTTAAACAATGAATAAGCGGTATGACCGTCTTACATTGCAAAAACAGAGTATCTATCTGTCTTCGGAAGCTAGGTTTTGCAACTAGTTAATTTCAGATACGTTAACTATTAGCTAAGGCCCAGTGAGTGAAGTTGGTCGGTCATTATGTGTAAATTTAATGCGTAAACTAGTTATGAGAACAGAATGTAAATAGCCCGAAGACTGCTAACTGTGACACTGAGGCTTAAACTAATGGAGTACATTTAAGGAGCTTCCGTATTTTATGCGACACTATTTCCTACTTAATCGTGATGTGACTCATTGCAGTGAGAAGTCGCGACGAGTTCATGAATAAGTATCGTTGTTTCTCTGCGGTACGGGAACGTCTTTCATGTGGCTGTAAAGCCAGTAAAGCTTAAAGAATGTATAATGGAAGCACCGGCCACGACTACGACTTGAGAACTTGGTAAATTTATGTTTCTTTTAATGTAGGAATCACTTTAGTGTGTTTATTCTTCTATAGATCTGTTGTTTTGATAAAATAAAATGCTGCTTGTTGGACACTACAAGGACGCTTTCACTCCGCATAGAATGACACAAATTATGAAATAAAATCTTGTTCAGTAATAATACGTTTATTAATGATAAAATATTAGACAGATTATCCTCGTCCATTATTATGTAAATAATACTAATTAAAAAAAATACAATAAATCCTATTCAAGAAACTGTTTCATGTGATCCGCAAGACCGAGATCTGCGCATTATACATCTTTGTCTGGTAACCCCTCCTCATTCTACTAACTTCTTTTCTCATTCCGTTTCTGTCTGTATATGTATTTAGTATTCATATAATATTTAACTCTCTTTTTATAGTGCGCCACCTACCTTTCCCTCACCCAATACTTTTATCTCCCTGGTTGTCTGTAAGAGATAGCTTTGAGCGATAAGGCCGCCATTTGTTCGCATATTTTTCTTTCTTTCTTTTTGGTAATTATTTATTCTTTTTTTTAATGCACAATAAAGAGTTATTATTATTATTATTTGTATGTTTCGCTTTCTCAGCCTTTTTGATGGGTTTTTACTCTTTGTGGCGTATTATTATTATTACAAACTAAAAAAAATTAACCAATTTGAAAGTCTCTTTCAAAGATTCTAAAAGAAACAAATATTTTTTCAAATCGGAGTCAAAATAACGGAGCTACAAAGTGACTCTTCCTTTTTGGAGGCAGTTAAAAATAATTTTGCCATTCGTAACAAAACGAACATTTTAAGTATACTATAATGTACCGAGGGAGTAACAATCTACAATAAACATACATCACTAATAGCATATAATACTAAAAAAAGAGTTCACTACAGACACAAAATGTTACTTTGCATAGCAATAATGCTTTATCAGTATCAATTGTACAACGAGACATTCTGTTTAATTATAACCGAGTATTATTAGATGCGATATATTAATAGCAGGGTTATCAGACGATAATGTCATCATTTTATTATTCATTGTAAAAAGGCGAGAACGGGGCGCTGCTGCTGAAATTATTACTTCTACTGGTCGTTGCTTAGTGATCAGAATTTAAACATATCGCAGGCCATGCCGCTCTCTTATCGGGTTATACAGTGTCGCGTACAAGCAGCAACAAAACGCAAAACAAAAGGAGCGTTCTGATTAGAGCGCACACCCATCCAATTCAAATACGCAACGTAATGTAACAGACTTAAATACCAACCGACCGATCTAACGTACATTTTGTTCACTCCAACAAATTTGTAATAAATAGTATATTTGCCATTAAATTCGAGACTATCAAGCGAAATCTATCATTTTCTACAACCCGTAATCTGCTGAAGCCATCATCATCTACCATCTGAGCATTCGAGCCGCATCATCACGTACCATACAGCCAAGAAGAGCTGTTCAAGGACCATCACCATAAACCATATATAACAGACGCTAAGGCCATTATTTAATTTAATATATTGAATGAATACAAAATGTCTTTCACTAAAAACTTAATAAACGTAAACGTATAATTCCTTATTAATTTTAAAACATGAGATAAAATGACAACAGACGAAGGGCCCGGAAATCTATAGTAAAATATATTATATTATTTGGTTTTTATAATTTAATTAAAAATTATCAAGTTATAATTAAATTATTGTACTTTGGTGTTACACCTGAATTTATAATCTTATATATAAAATTTTCGTGTCACAGTTTTCGTTCCCATACTCCTCCGAAACGGATGACCGATTCTCATGAAATTTTGTGAGCGTATTGAGTAGGTCTGAGAATCGGCCAACATCTATTTTTCATCCCCCTAAATGTTAGGGGTAGTCCACCCCTAAATTTTTATTTTTATTTTAAGGCAAAACAAGGGTTGTCGGGACAGCTAGTAAGTGTATATATTTGCTATATACCATTTTCTGTATTTTCTCTTCTACCCAAACGTTGCTGGAATAAATTGCTTAAGCGATAAGATCGCTCTTTCTACTTTCATACTCAATTTTTTTTTTCATAATAAGTCATTTGAAAAGTATTCTTTCTGCACTGCTCTTCGGTTTAATTACGTCAAATCTCATTTAAAATGACAGCGAATCTCCTACTTCTCCGTGAGCGTATTGTGTTTAGACTAGGAGAGGCTTTATCTTCACATTTATCATGAAAAATGTTGCTATTTTTGAGATCATTGGTTGTCTTCACATATATCGTCAAAATTGTTGCTATTTTAGAAATCATTTGATAACATCCATGTTTTTATTCTCTGCAAAGCAACACCATTAATCTTCATTCTAAAACGATCGCAAACTATTATAGTGTTCGGTCTGGTGCAGATTATAGCAATCAATTACTGTGGCGAGGTAAACACCAATATAGACAGACAGTGGGCGACAGCCGCGGCAAATATTTGCAAATTGTTACATACGGAACACCCGACCGCTGTTTGCGTCTAGTATAAATCTGTCGAGTGGTTGTTTGTGAAAACTATTACGTACACGGTGCTTGGATTCAATTCCCTCAGTCTATTTCACAACTGTTATTGGTGACATCCTTTATTTTATTTCTCGATGGTCTAGTGGTTTAGCACACCGCTTTACTATCCAATGGTCGTGGGTTCGATTCCTCGTACGGTACAAACATTTGTATTCATGAGTATGATTGTTTGTATCGGTCTGGGTGTTTTCTATGTATAATATCTATTTATTTGCACAAAAAAATGTATCTATGTATTTATATCAGTTGTCTAGTACCCATAACACAAGCTCTGCTTAGCTTGGGACTAGATGGCGCTGTGTGAATTGTCCTGAGATATTATTATTATTATTATATAGTTATTAGTCCGAATTTTTTTCAAATAAGTTTCTTGCCAGTTCTTCTCAATTGGATCTATATACTGAACTAGTAGGTAGGGAAGAATCATACTATAAAAAAAATTTGACGTTCATAAGCGGCTAAAATGTCCTATATGAATAAACAATTTTTGAATTTGAAACAATGTAAATATAGGGTAAATTGTTTGGTAACAGAAACTAAGTTTCTTGTTTATCCTTAGCTGAAACCGCATTTCCGATGAGGCGGTAAAAAAAAGTATTAGTGTTAGATTATAATCGTTTCGATAATAAATATGCAGAGTGGTATAGTAGATATATTTATAATAATGGAATATTAACATGATCTTATGTGCAATCAGCACATAAGACAATGAATTGTTTAATTACAAATAGAAGTAATGTTATTGATATCGACTGAGTTAGTTTCATAATTTTTATTAAAATAGTGAGGGTACAAAACTGATCTGTAAACGATATTTAGAGACACTTATTCATTCTTGTCTTGGCCACGGTTCTGTTAAGACGTACCAATAAAGTATTACGAATATAAAATACGTTTTCATTTCTGGTAATAGCTAGAAAAACCTATTTAGCTATTATTAGTAAGTTGCTGAAGGTCGAAATTCGACCTAATTGATTCAAATTATAAGTTTGAATATTATTAAAGTTCTATTGTTAAAGACATGTGAGTAATGTTTTTATAAATAATTTTCTTTTTATCTTGTAATTTTTTTTCCTTTTGATACTGTTATTGTAACTGATTTCGGTTTTTGTGAGCATTGAATATTGTAATTCATTCTATATATATTTATATTTGTGTATCCTAGATCTTATTTAATATTTTTTTTTGTGTTTAAATTATATGTATCTGTATGTAGTAAAAAACCCGCATCTCAGTTTTTTTTATTAGTAATGGGGGCTGCCTGGAAACCAGCGCTGTATATGTGCACCTCACTAAGGTTGTGCTTATATCAGCAACAGCTGAGGCAGCTCCTATTGCCAACTTCCATGTTATTATATATTTCTTGTTTTGTGTCTTATTGTAAATTGTATTATTTGTGTTATGTTGGCAATAAATATCAATTATCTATCTATCTATAATTAGTTTTATGTATTGTTTCTACAATTAAAAAAAATATTAGCATTTGTCCACTCCTTCTCTATATATATATATATATATATATATATATATATATATATATATATATATATATATATATATATATATATATATATATATATATATATATATAAATTGTTATTTTTGTATAAAAGGGTATAAAGTTTTTGCTTTACGTATTAATTTAAACATATTAAGCTCTTGAATAAGCAAATTATAAATATTTTCTTCTTTAATCATATTTGCTGCAAATCTGAATAACACTTCACATGTAACTTGTTGACAGGGCGAAATAATTTCGATATCGGTCAAGTATTTTACAGTTCATTATTTCCCCTGTACTATTCTGTCGGCGTTCATTTAATAAAATCTATACATGTAAATAAAATTAGAGTGTCTGTTTGTAATATTGAAATAACTGTTTTACTACATGCATATGAATATAAATACGGTACATACACCAAAATATTTTTTTCACAATTTTTGTCTGTCGGTTTTTTCCGGCTAATCTCTGAAATGGCTAGATCGATTCTGACGGGACTTTTATTGACAGGTAGCTGATGTAATAAAGAGTAAATTATGCTACTTTTATGTTAGAAAAATTAATTTAAAGACGAAGGCGCGGGTACAGTTAGTACATCGACGACCTCGGTGGTCTAGCGGTCAAGCACACCGCTTTACGACCGATGGTCGCGGGTTCGATTCCTCGCACGGCACAAACATTTGTATTCATGAGTAAGATTGTTTGTATCGGTCTGGGTGTTTTCTATGTATAATATGTATGTATTTACAAAAAAAAATATCTATGTATATGTATCAGTTATCTAGTACCCATAACACAAGCTCTAGCTAGCTTAACTTGGGTCTAGATGGGTCTGTGTGAATTGTCCTGAGATTATTATTTATTATAGTACATATTGTTGGCGATAGCTGGTGTATCACTAGCCACTTGCATCCTTCTCCTTATATGCATTGTACGGGCCAATTGAGGGCTAAATATAACTCGGTACGGACAATACAATGAGTCGTTTGTAGTTGTCGCTGCCCGGAGAGGCGATATGGTGTTGATATTTTAAAATAATTGATATTGCGTCTACAATGTTAGCATTTCGTCGGTTAAATAGAAAATGGCAGAATTCAAAATGTACATTTATTACAAGACGAGCATTTAAAGTTTTTTAATTTATTTAAATTATTCTTCCCTTTAAAGTTTTAAATTTACACACAAGTATTATATATCATTTTGAAAGTATTTTGATAATTAAGACGGCGTGGTTAATTTAATTGACTTAAATAAAAGGAGGCAATTCTAGATTCTAATTTTGAAATATGCCATTTTTCTACTTAATCGACGATTTATTGAATATTTCACATTTGTAGGTCTACTAAGTTATCGCTGTTCATTTTTTTATAACTTGTTACATTAAATTTAACTTAAGTTTTATTGTATCTAAAGTAAACGTAGCCTAAGTTATTCCTTATAATATTACCTATCTGCAAATGTCGTCAAAATTGGGCCAGCGGTTCAGAGATAAGCACAACCAAAAGGTGGGTCAAAAATTGTTCAATTAATATTTTGATGTAAGTACCGTATCTAGTCTCAACTCGGATGGCAGCGTTCGGGAAGCTCCGATATATCTTTTCATCTAAATTACAGGAGTGCCTCAAGACGAAGGTTTACGACCCATGTGTTGACCAGTGATCGCTAACTATGGGCCTCATGAATAAGCTCAAATTCACTCAAAGGGCAATGGAGAGGGCTATGCTCGGAGTTTCTCTGCGTGATTAATCCGCAGAAGAACCAGAGTGACCGACATAGCCCGAAGAATTGCAAAATTGAAGTGGCAATGGGCAGGGCAGATGGCCGTTGGGGCAGTAAAGTCCTCGAGTGGCGACTGCGGATTGGATGACGTAGCGTGGGAAGGCCTCTAGCAAGGTGGACTGACGATCTGGTCAAGATCG